CTAACAGAATTCAGCCGCCGGAAACTGTTTTTTAATCGTCCGCCCCCCGGCGTTCGCTTCATATATGACAGCCTACCCCTCCCTCCCATCCCTTACCATGGCGTAGATCCCCTCTCTACTCGCACAGTTGGATGTCGAGCAGGGCAATGATCTCGAAAGGGTACGCGATGCATTGTAGAGCACGGCGTGGCAGGGCGTTGAAGAGCACCGCAAAGCGTAGTATGTCACAGCATGGCGTGGCGCGGCGCAGTGCAGCATTGCATTACAAATCCTTGCAACGCAAAGCATGGCATCGCACAGCGGCCCCGAACATAACATTGCATAGCATGGCGTTCAAGATCAAAGCTTAGCATGGCATTGCACGACGTGGCACGTTCGTCGCCACAGACGGTCCGCCTGCTTTGCCTTTCCCCGCCAGAATTCTCTTCCGCGCGCGCCGTTGCGCAATTCGAGGGGGGGCGGCCGCGGGACGCCCGCTTCCCTTCCCTGACTCCGGATCCGCCCTACTTTGGGGAAATTCGTAATTAAGTAGGGCTTGGAATTTCCGCCTTACTTTTCAAGCCCCGCTGCTGCAAATTTCCGCTCTATTTTTCTGTTGTTGTTTCCGCACTACTTCCCCATTTAATTTTGGGTGCAGAAATGTCCGCCCTATTTTTTCGGCTCCTTATAGGTGGATTTCCGACGCAATTTTAAGTTGGAAAAATAGCCAAAGTAGGGCGGATCTGGAATTAGGGTTGCCCGCCGAGCCGGAGAGGGGAGGAGGAAGAGGAGGGGGAGGAGAGGAGGAGGAAACGGAGGAGGAGGAAAAGGAGGAGGAGGAGAGGAGGAGGAGGGCGAGAGGGGGGGCGGAGGAGGAGGAGGAGGAGGAGGAGGAGGACGACGAGCTCGCCCTGCAAAATCACCCCGTCCACCACCCTCGCCCCCGCGCCCTGGATCGCCACCTCGTGCCCCCCCCTGGCCTTCCAGGCAACCCGGAATTGTCAGCCCCCCGTCTGCCTGCCCTGCCCCCCTGCTATTCCGAGGGCGAGGAGTCCCGCGAAACAATTTTTTATCGTCCGCCCTCAAAATTTGTTTTAATCGTTTCCTTGCATCAATTGTCGCCACTTTCGTGGGCTCCTGGGAGGCCCAGCGGAGGTACGCCCCACGCGGATCACCTCGGGACAAGTGTCGCCACGTTCGTGGGCTCTTGGGAGGCCCAGCGGAGGTGGGTCCCACGCGGATCTCCTCGGGACCTCGCGGTGCCCTGGGGGTATTGTGATCTGGGCAAGTGTCGTTTTTTTTCCGGAGGTTCTTGGGGTGCCCAGCGGAGGTATGGTTCACGTGGATCATTCGGAGGTGCGGCATACGAGTTTCTTTCACCGCCCATGTGTGTCCATTTTGTATAGTTGCCGTTCCTCTTCTTGCTGCGCTCTTCTGAAATCACTGTTGGGTGCTCTTCTTGCGCACTGCGGGTCTTTCAGAATGCCAGTCAGCATTGAGTGGTCCAGAGTATAATCGCCAGATGTATAGAAAGGGTTTGGTACGCTACAGGGTAATATCTCTCTTTCTTTGTATACGTTTACACATACACACATGTATGTGTATATATATATTTATACATATATGTAAAAATGTGTATATATATATAGAGATATACACACACATACATATATATACACACAGGGGCATCCGTAATACGTTCAGGATTGGATACGCAGGAATCGGGTAATATGTAGAGACATGCGTGACACACGAAGGATTCGTGCTCCAGGGGAGGCCCAACCTATAGGAGCAGACGTACAACACATGGGATTGAAACCACTCCCGTGGCCTTCTGAGGCCTCCTATCCTTGAGGCCTCTTGGGGCCTCCTGGACCCTCCTGGGGCCTCCTGGGGCTTCTTGGCGCTTCCTGTGGCCTCCTGGGGCCTCCCGTGGCCTCCTGGAGTGTCCCTGAGCCTCATGAGGCCTTCTGGAGCTTCCCGGAGCCTCCTGGAGCATCTTGGGGCATCCTGTGGCCGCTTGACTCTTCCTGTGGCCTCCTGGCTGGTGCCTCCTGGAGCCTCCTGTGGCATCCTGGGGAGAATCCGTGCCCGCGAATATGGCCATCAAAACATGCAAACCGATCGAGACATCCTCAAAGTCTGCCCCGCTTGGAGGTGAAACTGAGCGCCTCGCTCGAGACATCCTCAGCATTTGCTCCGAAAGCGGAGGATGTTGGGCATGCAAACAGGCAAACCGCTCGAGACATACCCGCCATTTTGGCGCGAACGGAGGAGTGAGATACCCCCTGGCGGCTCCCCCTTGGGGGTGCTGAAACCTGCGCCTCGCTCGAGACATCCTCAGATTCTGCCCCGCCATCATTATTATCATCATCGGCATCACCATCACCATCATCAGCAGCAGCATCATCAACATCATCATCATCATCATCAGCAGCATCATCAGCATCATCAGCATCGGCAAACATCGAACATGTTATTGAAAGCTAACGAATCTTGCTTCGTGGAGCCCTCTTGGAATGCCTCGTGGAGACTCCTTGGGCGCCCCGTGGGTCGTCGTGGGGGCATCTGGGGCCGTGTGTGGGCCATCTTGGGCGTCGCTGGAAGATCTTTCGGCATTTCGGGGCCCTCTTGGAGTTTCTTGGGAGCCTCTGAGGGCCCTTTTGGTTTGTTTTGGAGTGTTCGATCCCTTCAGGGCGCCTTCGTCTGGGGCGAGGGGTGGGAGGGCGCGTTCGTCAGGGGCGAGGAGGGGGGGTCAAATTGCCGTTAGGGGTCCCGGGGGGGTCTTCTGGGGGGGGAAGAATCTTACACGCCTAGAGACCCACAAGGGGTCGGCGGATTAACCATCTTTGCCGGCTTACTTTCACTCGCTATGGAGGGGCAGTGGTTCAGGGTTGATTGGGGCCCAGGAGTAGGAGGAGGGCATTTCGCTTGCCAGGTTCAAGTGTTGTTGTAATTGCCTTTTCGACCTCCCGGGGGATGATAACACATGTGCCCCCGCAGTGGATTGCCATGATAATAATGAGCCCAAATCCCATCTAGGTGCCTGCCCATTCGTCTTCCCTGCATACATTCATGAACATTCGGTGGTTTATGACGGAGGGGAGGACGTCTTTCGACTGTGTTCGGCAATGAATTGGGCCTGCTTGCGGCGATAGCTCTAGCCTTGCAGCACTCGCCGCGTCCAGTTGCCCTGTCGCCTACTCAATTGTTGCTCAGTCGTTCGGTTCATGTACCGAGCTTCGTTCTTGTGTAGCTGTCTGGCTTACTCCAAACATGGGACACCCTGCCAAACAACAAGCAGGCACGCACTTGCTCCCTTGTTAGTCTACTTGCACGCTTACCTCGTCTCCTCCTGCACGGTGCTCCTCCACATTATGTGTCATTAATTAGTTGTTAAGGTTGTGTTCACGTTTCACCGTCGGTTCTCTGCTTAGTTACTATGCGCCCGCAGGGCACGCATTTGTTTCTAATTGTTGTTGGCTTTTCTTGCGCACGCATTGCAGCAACCATAATGTTTGTTCGCGGGTCGCGAAGTCGAAACCTTTTGCTTGTCGCTGGAAGAAAGCAACAATTTCGGTATTTTTCTATGGCTAACGTTCAAAACAACAGGAGGAACATAAGGAGGAGGAGAAAGAGAAGGAGGAGGAGGAGGAGGACGACAGGGGCAGAAGGGGCAGCAGCAGGATCGTAGTTTCTTGCTGGTGACTTTGAAGACAGGCACATCCCTGTCGAGTTGGGTGGTGTACATGGCCCCCCATCCTTGAAGGGGTGCTCGTGACGGTTGGGATGGTTGAACAGGGACTTCGCTGGCACCTGGTGCTGGTGGGTGGTATGTGTAGTCAGCATACCCCGAGACAGCCACCTTGGTTCGACACCTACTCTATACGATAGAAGAACATCCCGTGGAGACTTGTCCAGGGGGGGGGGGTCTGGTGGGGTTGTTTGGATCCCCGCTGGGTTGTCCAAAAGGCTACCCAGGGTATGTCGATTTTTCGTCAAGGTATGAACTGTAGATGGGTTGTCCAGGGGGGGTCTTGGGATTTTTCTTGATTGTCTTTCCATTGAATGATGTAATGTTCGACGGAGGGGTGCTCTGTGGTAGCCCCTATCGTGATAAGTCATGCTGCGTGCGACATCGCCTGTTCAGGAAGCATCGCAATCCTGGTGGTGACGGGGGGGCGCTCAACAACGCGGCAATATGGGAAACATTCTCTGCAGCCGGCTGGGGCGCCACCCTTGGAAGTGGCAGGAAGCTTGCTCCACCGCAGGGCGGATTACCGCCTTAGCGGTGACTCGGGCGGGCAGCTTTCAGGCAGGACGGGTCGCCCCTTCCAAGGGTGCCTGGGTCAGACCCACGCAATTGCTGCCAATGTCGCCGCTGAAGGGGTGACAGGGGGGACCCGCTACGCTGAAGGGCCGACCGCCTAAACAGGGAAAGCTTGGGGAGGCCGCTCTACAGCTGGACGTCTATACGCTTATCCATCTTGGGGGTGCCAAGGAGACTTGCTCGAACGGGGTAATCGCCATTCTAAGGGTGACGGGCTGTCGGCTCTCCCAGCAGGGCGCAGGGGAGACCTGATTCACATTAGGGCGGAACCCCACCGCAGGGACGATAGGTCGGCGCACGTTCGTCGGTAAGGCGATGACCGTCGTTCGACCGCAGGTCAAAGTGTGCGTCGATCTAGGTTGTTGCGCCCAGGGCGCCGTAGCCCCCCGAGAGCGCCAGGATGCACCAGCGCAGGGCGTTCACAATCTTCAGGAGAGGAAAAAACACACAGACACAATTAATCCTCGATTCCTCAGAAAATATGGGAAAATACGGGAAGTGGGGGGGATGACAGAAACCCTGAAAATATAGGAAAATATGGGGGATATTTTTATTTGTGTGTATTTATTTGTGTGTCCTGGGGCCCCTTTAGCAGCAGCAGCAGCAGCAGGCACCAGGAGGAGGAGGAGGGCGAAGGATGAGCAGCGGGGTGCCGCGGGGCAGCGGCGGGGCGGCGGTCCGACGGAGGGAGGCCAAGCGTGCACTCAGGAAATCGCAGCCGCGACGATCGCGACCGTGACGACCGCCGCAGAGATCGCCGCGGCGCCCCGGGGGGGAGCCAAGTCCTCGCCGACCCTCCGGGAGCCCGGTCGGGGGAGAAAAAGATACGGATACGTGTTGTCCCCGTTCGTTTTCGGCCTTTCCTGGTCCTCCTGGGGAATCCTCGTTGTCACTGCTGGATTCGCCTCGAAATTCTGGTCAGAACGCACCCCAAGAGAGGTCCGGGGACAACACGTATCCGTATCTTTCCGCCCCCCAACCCGGGCCCCCATCGGGCAGGGAAAGAGTCGCGGCGGGGGGGGCTTTGTGGTCTGCAGGCTCTGGGGGCTCTCGCCGGACCCCGGGGCCGTGAGGGCACTGCCCCGGATGAGCAAGAGCAGGTCCCCGGGGAGTGGGTCGAGGCATCCCCGGGGTCCACGTGAAGCACCGCGGCGTCGGATGGTTGTCAGGATCTCACCAGATTTCGCCCCTCGATCGGGTGCCGCTTTCGGGCCCTGGGGCCCCTGAGGCCTGGGCCTTGCATTTTTCCATCTGCGGCGTGTTCGCCCAGTTCCGGGCCCCAGAAACATGACAGACCTCGGGAGCCTCGAGACGAGGGTCAGCCAGAGCGCCCGATCTTGCAGGATCCTGCAGGGCCAGGGTCGCATTGACCCGGGTTTGGGCGCAGGATCCTGCAGGATCCTGCGGGGTCCTTCGCATTGAGCCGGGTTTGGGCGCAGGATATTGCAGGATCTTGCAGGATTCGGGTCTGGATTGACCCGGGTCAGAAGATCCCCGAAGACCGATCCGGCAGTAAAAATGCCGCATGAAGATGCGGACTTTGGTCGTGATGTTCGCGATGTTACATTCTTATTCGCAGGAACGAGAGCGAAGGCATCGTCATGAATCATGAACGAGCAGAAATCGTGTTCGCCATGTTGCATTTTTATTCGCAACGTCGGATCTCAGGTCTCGGACCTGGGGCTTTATCATCATAATTGGATCCTGGACGGAACTCTAGACCTCCCAGATGTGGTCGGAGGATCGCGCCACATTGCCGATGCATTGGCGATATGGAACCATGTGGAGCCTCTTTTTCCTCATATCCTAAGATGGGGTTATTGTTATTACTTTGACGCCTCCTACTACTCCTCCTTCCTCTTCTCCTTCTCCTCCTCTCTCCTCCTCAAACCCAGACTTACTCATACACAGACCGACTCACACTCAGACTTACTCATACCCAGAAGTACTCACACACAGAATTCTTCTTACTCAGACCTACTCATACTCAGACCTACTCCTCCTCAGACTTACTCATGGTGAGACTCACGCACGCCCCGTTCGCGGCCTCTTTGTGTGGATGCCTCAAGCGGTTTGCTTGTTTTCTGTCCCAACATCCTTGGCTACCAGAGCAGATTGCGAGGATGTCTCAGGCGGGGCGCTGGTTTCAGCTCCCCCATGAGGGGAGCCGCCAGTGGTTATCTCACGGTCCCGCTCGCGGCCGTTTTGTGGGGATATCTCAAGCGGTTTGCTTGTTTTCTGTGCCAACATCCTTCGCTTTCGGAGCATATGTGGGGGATGTCTCAAGCGAGGCGCTCATTTTCACCCCCCTAAGGGGAGCCGCCAGCGGCTATCTCACGGTCCCGTTCGCGGCCGTTTTGTGGGGATGTCTCAAGCGGCTTGCTTGATTGTTGTCCCAACATTTTTCGCTTTCGGAGCAGATTTGGGGGATGTCTCCAGGGAGGCGCCCATTTTCACCCCCCTCAGGGGAGCCGCCAGGGGTTATCTCACGGTCCCGTTCGCGGCCGCTTTGTGGGGATGCCTCAAGCGGGTTGCTTGATTGTTGTCCCAACATCTTTCGCTGTCGGAGCAGATTTGGAGGATGTCTCGAGCGAGGCGCTCATTTTCACACCTTTAAGGGGGCCGCCAGGAGTTATCTCACAGTCCCGTTCGCGGCCGTTTTGTGGGGATGTCTCAAGCGGTTTGCTTTTTTTTTTGTCCCAGCATGTTTCGTTGTCAGAGCAGATTTGGAGGATGTCTCGAGCGAGGTGCTCATTGTCACCACCCTAAGGTGAGCCGCCAGTGGTTATCTCACGGTCCCGTTCGCGGCCGTTGTGTTGGGAATTCTCAAGCGGTTTGCTTGTTTTCTGTCCCCAACATCTTTCGCTTTCAGAGCAGATTCGGAGGATGTCTCGAGCGAGGCGCTCATGTTCACCCCCCAGGTGGGCCAGATTTTGAGGATGTCTCGATCGGTTGGCATGTTTTGGTGGCCAGGCTCGTGGGCGCAGATTCTTCCCAGGATGCCACAGGAGGCTCCAGGAGGCCCCAGGAGACAACGTAAGGTCCCAGGAGACACCAGGAGGCCACATAAAGATTCAAGAGGCCACAGGATGTCCCAAGAGGCTCCAGGAGGCCCCAGGAAGCTCCAGACGGCCTCAGGCAGCCCCAGGAGGCCACAAAGCGCCAGGAGGCTTCGGAAGGCAACAGGAGGCCCCGAGAGGCACCAGGAGCAGGAGGCCTCAGAAGGCAACAGGAGTGGCTCCAATCCCATGTGTTTTACGTATGCTCCTATCGATTGGGCCTCACTTGGAGCACGATTCCTTGATGTTATACGTATGTTTCTATAGATTGTCCTTCTCCTCTGTACATAATCCTACATGGTTTATTTATGTTCCTATAGATTGGGCCTCTCATGGGGCACAAGTCCTTGGTGTTTTACGCGTGTTCCTATACATTGCCTTTCTCCTGTGGCTTTAATCCGCAATGTTTTATGTACGTATGTTGCTGTATATATATATATAGAGAGAGAGAGAGAGAGAAAGAGAGAGAGAGAGAGAGAGTGGGCTTCTCCTGGGGCACGAAAACCCCCTAGGAGGTCCCAGGAGACCCCAAGAGGCTCCTGGAGACCCCAGGAAACCCCAGTAGGGTCCAGGAGGCCCCAGGAGGCCCCAGGCTCATGCGCAGAGACGCGCTCGTACTACTTAGGCTCAATCATACTCCAATTCATTCGCAGTTAGATGCGTGCCCAGACCGTCACAACTGAAGCCCGTCTAGATTCAAAAGCTCTTGCGCCCAGACACGCATGGCGGACAGGTCCATACGAATAGATGCACATATGGGGAGCTCCACGCACTGAAGAATTCTCCACCCTGGCATCGCCGATGCATCGCCGACGTTGCCGATGCATCGCGAATGCATCGGCGATGCATGGGGGATGCGGCGCGATCCTCCGACCACATATACTCAGACCCCAGTTTGGAGGCCTCTAAGAACGACTCCCTGGGAAGCGGTTGGGTGCTGTTTGGGGCCGCGGCATGAAAAAATCACATCGGCGATTGTCAGGGGGGGGAATGATGAAATTCTTGACGCTTCGCGTATCCCCACCAGGTCCGTAGCCCTCTGGCTCAAGGTGCCGAGCCGGCTTGCCGGGCCGCGGTCGGGGGCCTGCCCCTGGCCCTCGGCCCCCCCTCCTGCGGGAGCGCGGACGGGGCCTCCCCTCCGCGCTCCCGCCTCGCCCCGCCATGATGTCGCCGTCGGCGCGGCGGCGGCGGCAGCGGCGCGAGGCTGCCTGCCGCGCCGCCGCGCTGCCGCCCCGGCTCGCTTGCGGCCCGCCGGGCCTGCCGCTTGCGGCGCCCCCCCTGGCCTGCCTGCTGCGGCTGGCGCCGCCGGCGCTGCCGCCCCCGCGGCTGCCGGCGACGGCGCCGCCGCCGCGCCGCCGCCGCGGCCGCGGGCGCGCGCGACGCCGCCGCGGCCGCTGACGCCACTGCCGCTTGCGCGGCCGCGGCCACGGCGGCCTCTGCGGCCCGCCCTGGCTGCCGGCCCGGGCGGCGCTGGCGCATCTGGCGCCGCGGGCGCCGCTGGCGCCGCTGGGGCTGCCTGCGCCTCCTGCGCCGCGCGCGCCGCTGGCGGCGCCCCCGCCGCCGGGGGCGCCGCTGGCGCCGCGAGCGCCGCGCCGCGGGCAACCGCTGGAACCGCCGGCGCCGCGGGCGCCGCAGGCGCCGCCGGCGCCTCCGCAGCTATAGCGGCGCCGCGGCTGCTGGCGCGGCTGGAGCTGCTGGCGGCGCGGCTGGTGCCGCCGCGGGCCGCGGCCGCCACTGCTGGGCCCCCCCCCGCTGCGGCCGCAGCTCCCCCTCAGGCGGCCGCGGCCGCCGCCTGCTGCGCCGCCGCCGCCGCCGGCGAGGCCGCCGCCGCCGCTGGCCTCTGGGAGGCCGTGGCGGCCCTGGCCCGTGCCGCCGGCCTCGCCGCCGGGGCGGCCGGCTGCGGCGCCGTGGCCGCGGCAGCCGTCACCGCGGCCCTCGGCGAGCAGCCGCAGCAGCCGGGCAGCGGCAGCAGCTGCAGCAGGGCTGCAGCAGCCGCAGCAGCAAGTCAGCAGCAAGTCAGCAGCAGCAGCCGCAGCAGCAGGGCAGCAGCAGCAACAGCAGCGACAGCCGCGGCAGCAGCCGCAGGAGCAGCGCCCCACCGGCGGATGTGGATGCAGCCGTTTGCTGCCAACCTGGATTGTCCCTTTGTGGATGGCGGCGAAGGAGTCCCCGCCGGGCGCACACCTGGCGGTCTCCTGGCTACTGGACTCAGAGATGGGGTCGAGAGCTCCGGGGTCCTGGGTGTTGGGATGGGGTCGAGAGCTCAGGGACTCGATGACACTTCGGTTGTGGGTCCTGGGAGATACGACGGCGCGCGCTTCCCTGGAGTTTCTTCCACCGCCGGTGCAGCCGTTAGCTGCCAACCTGGAGTCACTTCAGACGACGGCACGTCCTTCCCTGTAGTTTCTTCCACTGCCGGCGCAGCCGTTAGCTGCCACGCACCTGGCAGGCTCAGGGGTCCTGGACGCGGCGATGGGGTCGAGAGAGAGCTCTGGGGCCCAGGGCGCTGGGATGGGGTCGAGAGCTCATTGGTCCAGGGACGTTGCGGACGTGCATCCTGGAAGGGGCGGTGCTTCGTGCATCAGAGACAGGCAGACAGACGTTCCTATAGCTCCTCTTCCCTATCAGCGTCGAGCGGTGGGGGTTCAACCTTTGGCGGCGCGAGCTCGAGCTATCACTTTGCCAGTCGCCGGGGCCGTCAGC